GATATTCAATGGACTACTGAGACTCCACAGCTACATTTCAAATGTATCTGATTTATCGTACTGAAAAGAAGCATAAATACCCTGAATGGAATGTGAGAACGAGTCAAACAGAAAAAGCGGAGCAGTCGAGAAACTGGACGAATTGGCACAGGTGATACGGGATGTGGACAGGAACATGAGAAACTTAGTAGAAGAGACCAAGTTCATTACACTTCATGTTCAAACAAGCATCTTGGCTTACAAACAAAATAAGAAATAAGCTTAATTGAGTCTTTATGTAGGTTGTGCCCCTGTTTCTGCCTGTGCTTCCGGTTCAAGCTGATTCTGGTTTAATTCTCTGCCTTTGTCTCCATTCTGATTCTCGTCTCCATTTTGATTCTCGTCTCCATTTTGATTCTCGTCTCCATTCTGATTCTCGTCTCCATTTTGATTCTCTTCTTCAGGTGTCTTATTCTCTTCTACCTTTCCACTTTCTTGTATTTCAGCCAATACTTCATGTAATGCTGGATCATACTCCTTTATGTTCTCTGGTGCAATGATCTGTAGATACGAGAGAGCAAGACAGCCTGATTTGATGATGTTGGTGAATTGGAATGAGATGAATATCGCAAAGAGTGCGCCCATGACGTACAACTTAATTTCGACATTTTTTGGGCCGTATGGCTTCAGAAACTCCTTCAATCCTATCAAAAGTGCATTGAATCCTAATATCAGGATGACCTGAACAATGAAGAATATGTTCTGCAAGTGTTCTGTAATCACGAATGATTCAAATGCCGCATTCTCCTTCTCAGAGAGTCTCTCAAATGAGTTTCTCATTGAATCCATGTATTTGTCACCTGTTATTGCCAGGTATGCAAATGCAAATTTGTTCAATACTGAAACAAATGCTTCGAATATTGCCAANAGTGCGCCCATGACGTACAACTTAATTTCGACATTTTTTGGGCCGTATGGCTTCAGAAACTCCTTCAATCCTATCAAAAGTGCATTGAATCCTAATATCAGGATGACCTGAACAATGAAGAATATGTTCTGCAAGTGTTCTGTAATCACGAATGATTCAAATGCCGCATTCTCCTTCTCAGAGAGTCTCTCAAATGAGTTTCTCATTGAATCCATGTATTTGTCACCTGTTATTGCCAGGTATGCAAATGCAAATTTGTTCAATACTGAAACAAATGCTTCGAATATTGCCAATAGAATTGAAACTACACACATCAGTAGCGCGAATGCAAATGGTCTTCTGTGATGATACTGTACTTCATCTTCCTTGCTCTGTTCGAGATGCGATAGTACACGAAGTGTCTTAATTATTGCGATGAGCAATGCTCCATATGCGATAGATCCCATAGCATACAGCGTATATTTGAGTGCTCTTATTCCTATGAGTGCATTTCTATCGTCATCATTTGGTGATGTCTTCTTTAGTATTTCACCTGTGATCACACAAACTGTAAATACGTCAAAAAAGTAGATGAAGAAGGTCTCAATCCAAAATTGCGTGAAGCACAGGACGATTTCAGGGAGTCCAGTGTTGTCCATATCACGTGGAAATGCTTTGGTTACTGTTATGAATACACCAATTGTGATGAACATAAATAACAGATAGTTGAATGCAAGCATGAAGAAGTTCCGTAATAGGATTCTGGATGTGGTTGTGTAGAGCTGAGCAATGATGTTGATCTTCCTTCTGATGAATAACCAGGTGATTAGTGAGAATAACATGGCTACTGCAGGAATCAGTATGGGAAAATGTTCTTGTCCTGCAACAATACTAACATATGTCAGTAATGCTGGTACAAAAAGCAGGCCTGAATAAATGGCTACTTTTGGTAGACCAAGGTACAGCAGTAGCATCAGGAAGTTGAATCCAAAGGTGGCTAGGAGGTTAAATCCAATTATTTTCGCATATTCAGAGGAAATATTAACGAATGTTTTGTGTACTGATTTTTCCTCGATCATGTTGCGGATTCCAATTCCAGAAAGTGTCCCACAGAGAAGCAAGAACATAATAAATGCCCATGCATCATTGAATCGCCTGTTCTTTGACAACTGAAGTTCCGCGTTGTTAATCATAACGGTAAGAAAAATGATTGAATTTAAGGCAATAAGGAGGCAATATTACAACAGTGATCTTCTGAATAAAACAGCGTAATATGATAAAGAACTGGTCTAACAGTCTATTTTACGCTTGTTTGATGACATCTAATAAAGGAGAGTTTGTGATTGATGAAGATGAAAACATTATGTCAATAGAGGTAATAGGACATGTACATAGAGAGGTAACTAGTGATTTATTTCAACAGCGTATGGGTGATAAACACATTTTGATTTAGTTTTCAGGTTAATTCATCAGTAGATTGATCTTCTACAAAAATGCTTCTGTTTCCAGTGATAATTTGGTCTTGAAATAGACTGATGTTCTCACCCTAATGCGTTCAAATAGCCATCGTGCTTCAGACAACCTGCCCCATGTTGCAAGAATCTTCACGAATTCTAGCACCATCAGCTCCTCATTTTCTGTGAAATTTGAGATGTTGGCTTTGATTGCTTTGGCCACAACATCAATTGACTCATTTTGGTAGCCCATGAACTTCTTAAACAACTTGAATGCCTCGTCAAAGTGTCCTTCTTGTGTGTAGAACCTGATTGCGTATGTCTGCATGGCAACATCATGAGAATTGAATTCTAATCCACGAAGCAGAAATGTCTCTGCCTTGTCAAATTTGGACATGTTTTCATACGCGATTCCTAGGCCAAAGAGAGCCCGACTATTTTTCTCCTGCATATTCAGTGAGACCCTGAAATGAATTGTTGCCTTAGCAAATTGACCCTTTGAAACGTATTCGAATCCAAGCAATGTGTTTGCTAGTGCACTTTCCTTGATTAAAATGGACTTTTCAATGCAAGTAATTGAGTTATCGATGTCTCCTTTTGCCGAATAATAGTTTGCTACAGCAATCCAAGTCTTTTCATCGCATGGATTCGTTTCAATGAGTTCTTTTGAAAGTAATCCCAGCAGATTCTCTTTCTTCTGCTTCCAGAAATACGTTGAGAATACATCCATACCCTTACAAAATGCCTGGTCCTTTTTCCTGATCAATTTGTATATTGTTAAACCATCATCAAATTCACCAATCTGCATTTTGAACAGTGCCAATTTGGCCAGAAAATATGTTCCAGGACCAGGCGTCCGTTTCTCAAATTCCTTTTGAATGCTCTTGTTGTTTTGTAGGGTGCTTAAACTGGTGATGTTTGTGTAGTAGGTTGCTATTGGATCATCTTTGAATTGGGTAAGTACAACAGATGCCTGATTTTCATACAGGTTCTCAACAACTGGAAGTAAACATCCATATTCTGCAGATTTCTTGAAGTATTCAATTGCACTTGTTGCTGATCCCATTTGCACTTTTATTCTGCCCATTAGCATATGGAAATATTCCATATCACGTTCTATTAAGAATGAGTCTAGGAAGAAACAGCCTGTCTTCTCATCCTCCTCATCCTTCTTAATTAGTGTTTCCATTGTTTTGTATGCTAAATCATACTGTTTTAATTCATATAATGAACATGCTGTGTAATATAATGCTGTATTTGATTTGTTTTTGCTCAAAGTTGATGCACACCTGGCATACTCTTTGTTTGAGTGAAGTAGAAGACCAAACAACATCTCATATGACTTATCAGTATTACTTAATACTGCAGCCAAATATATTGCGGTCTCATAGTCTCTGTATCGATAACACCTTTCTATTTTTAAGACAAGCTGGTCTAAGTCCATGGGCTGAGAAATTCACAAAAATTGTAGGCCATGAATTTTGATGATGTGAACTACAAATTACCGGAATTCAATAGAATACAATTTGAGAAGACTATAGAAGTAGATGGGAGTATTTGCAACACTTATTGTACAGATAAGATGATTGTATATGCAACAGAAACAACAGTATACGCGTATGATGGTAAAAAGAATTCTAAGATCTACAATTCAACTATCAAAATAACTACAATTTATGCACACGATGATGTCATTTACATTGGATTCAACACGAATGAGACTCTGTTTATTACATTATCTAAGACAGTAATAGGAAAATGCGAAATGAATGATGCAATTATTGCATTCAAAAAGGTACAAGATTGTTTGCTGATACTTACACCAAATTGTATTCATATTTACGATTTAAAGACAAATCGAATATTGAAGGAGTTCAGGTTATTTATCAATTTGATTGGTATTGAAGAATATGATGGGAGGCTGTATGTATTAGACAAGAACAAGATCAAACAAATTGAGATCAATAATCTAGAAATGAAAATTATAGAGGAAAAATACAAGTTTAGAACAAAAATGATGTCTGGGTTCAGAATGATCAAAAATGGATGTATTGGATTTGGTGAAACAAGAATATACGTGATAACAGAAAATGGAAAAGTGGATAAAATATCACATTACAAGAGTATCACTGACATATTAATCTGCTGCAACAGTATCTATACAGCATCCAAAGATCACCACATTAAGGCATTTGATTTCAATCTAAAACGGTGTTCAAGCGTGAATATCAGAGAACCAGCACAAAACATTGCATTTATCAGAGATGATTTGTATGTGATTGGACAAAGTGGGATTTATATCAAGAAAAAGAAGGTTCCTTTGAAGATCAAGGAAGATGAAGCAAAGATTAGGAAACTGACAGATTTCGAAGAGAAACTCACAGTTAATACATTTGGAAGAAATTCAAAACAAAGAAACGAGTGGGAGAGACATCTCATGCATCATAATCACAAGAAAGCATTTGCTCTGGTATTTGCAGAAGGAGACCTATCGAATATTTATTCTGTGATGAAGTATTTGTATGAGAAAAGGCAACTAAAAAGTTTGCTCGTTGATCAGAAAGAATCATTTGTGATGGAATTCACTGGATTTATTGTAGATTATTTCTACATCAGTGATCTTCAACCTATTTTGATCGAATGTATGGTGATTTTAGCATCGTTGTATGCCAGATTGCTCAAAACCAAAGCATTTGATGAGTTACTGGAATTATTTGGAAATGTTTTGGAAGATGAAATAGAATTTGGTGAGCTCAAAATTCGAACAGTTTCTTTTTTAGAGAGTTTTATGCAATAAATTTAGTTGATCAATCCCCCCATGAATAGTTGTCCAGGAGTAGGAAGCAAAGAGGCTGGTGTTGCAGAAGGATGTAAAGGGTGTCCCAGTGCAGAGAAATGTAAGACAGCCAAACCGGATCCAGATATCGATCGAATCAAAGAAAGATTGAAACAGTTTAAACAGATTGTTGCAATAATGTGTGGCAAAGGCGGTGTTGGTAAGAGTTTCATGTCTGTACAACTTGCTAGTCACCTCAAACAGCATCATAATGTGCTTCTAATTGATTTTGACCTATCTGGTCCGTCAATTCCAAAATTAACACAAACGGAAAATCATATAATATCGAACATTGACGATACATTTGATCCAATTGATGCAAATGGATACAAAACATTCTCAGTAGGACACATTAACACAACCAGTGACATATTTGATAGTAGTTACAAGACGTATTTGATCAAGAAGATTCTGAAAAATTGCAATTTTGACAATTGTGATATCCTGATCATTGATACACCACCAAATATCACTGATGAACATATTGCNAGTCACCTCAAACAGCATCATAATGTGCTTCTAATTGATTTTGACCTATCTGGTCCGTCAATTCCAAAATTAACACAAACGGAAAATCATATAATATCGAACATTGACGATACATTTGATCCAATTGATGCAAATGGATACAAAACATTCTCAGTAGGACACATTAACACAACCAGTGACATATTTGATAGTAGTTACAAGACGTATTTGATCAAGAAGATTCTGAAAAATTGCAATTTTGACAATTGTGATATCCTGATCATTGATACACCACCAAATATCACTGATGAACATATTGCGCTCTTCAATTACATCAAAGAATGCTCTACGGTGCTGATTTCTACGCCACATCCACTTGCAATGTCTGATTTGAATAGACAGCTTAGTTTCTGTAAAAAGGCCAAAATGCGTGTTTTGGGCGTAGTAGAAAACATGAGTGGGATAGAATGCATAGAATGCGGTCACATCAATGACGTATTTGGTACTGGAGCAGTTGAACTATTCAGTACCAAAAACAGCCTTATTTTCTTAGGCAGAATAAATTTCAGTATCAAAATGTGCAGGGTGAGGTAACCGGGTAGTGATGATAAGACTTTATTCAATCCTGCCGGTCTAGCGTTCGCTCCGCTCCTGTGGCGTGTATGTTGGTTGTTATATTGACTCATACGATGGGTTATAAATCCCGTTTTCTTTTATACCTAGCTGTCAAACCTATCATTAGTGAAAACTTCTCCTCCTAAATCTGATGAGATGCAAGTTGCGTCAGTCTACCCCACCTTTAGAGGTACCACCCTACGCTGATTCACCCACATACGTTTGCGAGTGTTCTCAATCTCCAGAACTCCTGATTCCTTTAACACCTTAGTGATACGGAATGGTCCTAATTGTCGGGAGTCCATTTTCCCTGGCATTGCCCCTACCTTGACGTAGACTACTTCGCCGACGTCCCAATGGTGCTGTACTCGTTTGTCGTTTTCGCGTTTCTGATTGATTCCCTGACTCTTCATGTTTCTTTCCTTCAATTCTTGCTTGCTTATAGTGACTCGTTTTCGAGCCAAGTTGAAAATGCTCGTTTGGTGTACTACTTCCTTTGGACTATATCCCGTGCTTCTGTTGGCAGTTTCGTTCAATCCCTGGGTAATTCGCTCTATGGCCGTGTCCAATGGGATGTCCTTCGTTATGCGCATGCCTAGACTAATCCTTTGATTGTAGCGCTCGGCTATTCCGTTTCCTCGTGGATTATAAGCGCTTAAGGCTAGGGTTTGGATGCCGTTGGTTTTCAAATAATCCTTGAATTCCTTACTCGTGTAACATCCCCCATTATCGCTTAGGAACCTCCTAGGTTTCCCATTTTCCTTTATCCAACTCTCGAAAGCTTCTAACACGGTTCTACTATTGATCGTGGTTAGTGCTCTCAACTTAATACATCGGCTCCATAGGTCGATGAATGAGATGACCCAGACCTTCATTCTTCCTTTGTCAGTTTTCCTTACAAAGGGTCCTACCAAATCCGAAGCTAAGGTATCGTTGAAGTCCTTACCGTAGTAACCTCTTCCGATAAATCCATAATTGCTTTTGCGGTTCTTATAGACCATGCAATATTGGCATTCCATGCTGACCTCTCTGAGTCTTTCTCGTAACTCTTTTCCTGTCAAATACCGGGATATGGTCAGCCACATCGTGGTTTCCCCGGCATGCATAGTTCTTTCATGTATCTCCCATGCGACTTCTTTTCCCTTGTTCCTAGGGACAATTACTCTGCCCTCCTTACTTAAGTAGATTTGCCATTGTTCGAGAAATTGCATTCCCTCACTCTTGTCCTCCGTGCTCAATGGCGCTCCAAAGAGGATTGCAAATAATCCCTGTTCGGTTGACCATCGCAGACAATCTTCACATCCTTCTCTACTGAAGTAATCGGCCAGACTGTTCTTAATGCCTTCAATGTGTTCGAGTTCAATCTCGTACTCGTTGAGAATGCTCTTCCACCTGTTCATCCTGCTTCCTTCAGCCGGTTGATTATAGCTGTTGTTCTTGCTGTCCGTTTTTAGTTTGATCTTGCTTCCCCATACCAGCTTATGGAAATGCTGTATACTCCTAACTATTGCGTAGAATTCTTTTTCTACGATTGTATAATTGAGTTCCGATCCTTGCAGTTTATGACTGTAGATTCCTACTATTGCTCCTTCCTGCAACAATACCCCTGATATGCCTTCTTTTGATGCGTCGACTTGTAGTTCGAACGGCTTACTAGGGTCGACATGGCGCAATAGATTCTCCTTCTCAATTTCCTCGAAAATCCCTTTTCGCATACTTTCGTCTTCCTGATCCCAGAAAAACTTTCCCTTTTCCAATTTCATCTTTTTGGTCAAAGGCAATACTTTATCGCTCATTCTTGGTACGAAATCACGAAACCAATTTAGGAGCCATAGCAGTCTCCTTGCTTCTTTCGCGTTCTTTGGTGCTTCCTCCATTCGAGCGATGTGTATCTTTGAGCTATCCGCTCGTATTCCGTGCTCCGAAATGATCATACCTAAATAGTTCACCTGAGGTAAGCCGAAATGACTCTTTTCGAAATTGATCTTAGCTCCACTTCCTTGTAACCTTTCTAACACTAGTTTCACGTCCCTTACGTGATCGTCTAAACTTGAACTAGCGATGAGTACGTCGTCTACGAATACTCTAACACAGTCTAATCCTCGAAGCATTCCATCCATAGCCCGTTGGAAAGAGCGTGGGCTATTGGCCATGCCGAAAGGCAGCCGATTATATTCGTACTGTCCGAAAGGCAACACGAAGCCTGTCTTGTGTCTATCCTCTTTCCGGATTCTAATTTGATAGAATCCCTTATCTAGGTCGATTTGACTGAACACCTTCCTTCCATGCAATCCTTGCAACTGGTCCTTGACGTTCGGAAACGGATAGACCTCCTTCTCTGTTATCTGGTTGAGTGCCCTGAAGTCTGTTACCATTCGCACTGCTCCGTTTTTCTTTAGGACTCCAAAGCTGGGGCTACCGTATTTGGAACTGCTACGGCTTATCAGTCCCTGGTCCAGCATGTCCTTTATCTGTTGTTTTAGTTCCCCCAATACCTTGAAAGGTAGCCCGTAGGGCTTGAAGTGTACTGGTTTATCGCTGGTCAGATGGATCTCGTGTTCTTGACCGTCGATATTTCCTAAGATGGGATTCGTTGCCTTAAATCCCTGAACAACATCCTCCAGTGTTTCCGGTTCTCTTACTACTTGCCTGAGGTTATCCACCAATAGATTTTCTGGTCGACTGGCTTCTTTGTCTTGGAATTCCTCAATGAGCAACTCGTAGCCATCCACTGATATGATCCCTTTCTTTAGGTCCAGGACCATCCCATTGTTACACATGAAGTCTAGGCCTACGATCAGATCCTCTGTCAGGCCTGGCAATACCAAGGCTTTCACTTTGTACCGGGTATGAGAGATTCCCACTAGCTCCATTTCGGTTTCCGTCTGTTCATTGATTTGTACAGTTCTACCGTTAGCTAGGTGCACTGTGGCCTCTACCTTTTCTATGGGTAACTTTAATTTCTCTTGGGCCTCCTTCCTTATGTAAGTCAGCCGTGCACCAGTGTCCAGGACGACCTGGATGGGCTCTTCCAAAATTAGTCCTCCTAGTCCAATTTTCTGACACTGGATCTTTTCTTCCTGAATCATGCGGATATTGTCTTTCGCATTCTTAGCTTGAGAGCCCTTGTTGCTGTTGCTTGTCCTAGTTCTGTCGAAGCACTCTTCTGGGCCATGTGTGTAGCTTCGGTGCCGAGGACAGTACTTCCTCTGCTGAGTGTAATGCGATTCCTGATTCCAGGACTCTACTCGGTTTCTTTCCAATGCTATCAGGATACCTATTTTCGCATCGAACCCTTTGTCTCCGAGTCGTATCCATTCTTCCTTCATCCAAGTTCGTAGTCCATTTACAAATAGATCTTCTTTTTCGAACTCTCCTAAGCGTCTGGGTGCGTTGATGCACATATCGGTTCTCTCTATTAGGCGATCGTGCATTTCCCTATAGCCATGTAGGTCCGGGAACATAGCAGCTCGTAGATCCTCTAAGGCTACTAGCAATCGTCCAAACATTTCTCGATTATAAGTTAACTCTGTTAGTTTCTCTAAACATTTTTCAAACAGAGCACATCTAGCGAAGAGGTGATGGTATCTCTGATCCACCAATATCTGTAATTCCTCCTTCGCTTCCTCATCCTCCTTAAAGCAGCGTTTCATTATAGGCCGTATTCTCTTGGCCCAATCGACGATGTCTTGTGTAGTGTGGTCTACGTATCGATCTATGCTCAACTGGCATATCACGTGACCTTCCCTGTATATCGGGTATTTCACTTGCTCGCCTGATTCTCCTGCTATCGTATTGTATTCGTCTTTTACCCTCTTTGAATTCAAACTGAGGTAACCGGGTAGTGATGATAAGACTTTATTCAATCCTGCCGGTCTAGCGTTCGCTCCGCTCCTGTGGCGTGTATGTTGGTTGTTATATTGACTCATACGATGGGTTACAAATCCCGTTTTCTTTTATACCTAGCTGTCAAACCTATCATTAGTGAAAACTTCTCCTCCTAAATCTGATGAGATGCAAGTTGCGTCACAGGGAACTCGATTCTGGTCAAATTGAACACGATGAAAATATCGCACAAATTTGTAGCGGAATAAGAAAAGCAATGAATTTTTAACCGCAGAATGAACAAAAGATTCTCAACAGTTAAAAACGAGGATTTCAAGCACAGTGGAAGCTACAGCGTAGAAGGAGATGAACCAAACTGCATCAAAATCAGATCAGACGTAAAACATCATAAGCTTTGCATGTACAAGAATGAACACGATATCTCATATTTTGAGATATCGATTATTTCAAGAAAGGGCGTATGCAGAGTTGGATACGCAACAGAAAAGGCGGAGATGCTTGGGCCACTTGGATACGATGCCGAGTCATTTGGCTACCAAATGAAAAATGGCTATTTCATCACGAAATCAAAAAGGCGTGTTATTGGAGAACGGATCACACCAGGTAACATCCTGAGCTGCTTTCTAAATGAGAGTGAAGATGGTCTCTGTGTTTATTTCTACCAAAACGGTATCCAAATTCATGACGGAATCAAAGTGGATAAGAAACCTGGGCAATTGCGTCCTGCTCTCTCACTTTATGGCNTTTCAAGAAAGGGCGTATGCAGAGTTGGATACGCAACAGAAAAGGCGGAGATGCTTGGGCCACTTGGATACGATGCCGAGTCATTTGGCTACCAAATGAAAAATGGCTATTTCATCACGAAATCAAAAAGGCGTGTTATTGGAGAACGGATCACACCAGGTAACATCCTGAGCTGCTTTCTAAATGAGAGTGAAGATGGTCTCTGTGTTTATTTCTACCAAAACGGTATCCAAATTCATGACGGAATCAAAGTGGATAAGAAACCTGGGCAATTGCGTCCTGCTCTCTCACTTTATGGCGGAGCAGAGGCAGAGCTGAATTTTGGACCACTATTTTCATACGAGGATAAGATACGAAGCACTGAGTTGGTCCAATATGAACAATTAAATGGTTAATTCACTGTGTTTAATTCTTAAAGTAGAGTCTGTTGTTTCTTTTCCCCAGGTAATCTCGCCCTACCAGAAAATTTACAAAAATCTCAAGCTTCTTGTGTGATGTGCTATTGAATCTGCTGCGTATGGGATCAATGTCTGTCTCATGAATCGATTTGACAAAGTTGTAGATTTCAAGCAAGACCGATTCGTTTGCGAATGCTTGAGGGAGACTCTCCTTTGTGAGCGGCTGTGCTGCTGTACTATGCTCAATTGTTTTGGATGTGTTTGTCAGAGTGTCCAGGTTTGTATGCTGGCTAATTGGTTGCTTCAATGGTGTTGATAAATTGTCATAGTGGCTTGTGTTCTCCCTGCTTCTTAGGTTGTTCTCTTTCTCGTCCTCATCATTTATTTCATTTGCTATCACACTCATTCTTGGACTTATTTCTTCAAAAATTGTTGTGTCATTTAGTGTTGCATCTTTCTGGTTTAATTCATCATCAAATTTAAAGAACCTGTTCCAGCTCATCAGGTTCTCCCGAATGTTTCTGTTTATCTCTGCATGCTTCTTGACCTTCCCCCTGATCTCTCTTAGTATGTTTTTTATCTCACAGAATTTGTTGTCGATTTTTTCCAAGTAGCTTATGATTCGCTCATCGTTTTCAATATCACCCATTTTGAGGGTAAAAATGGAATGTTTTTGATATTGGAGAAGGTGATTGTATCAAGGTTTATGATGAAAAACAAAGGAGACTGGCACGAAGAGATCAGACATATTTCAACGAAAAATGAATTTTGAAAGTCCCTCCAAAAATGGCAAAAAATATCTCAATACAAAAGAGGCTCAAACCATTTCTAATCAAGGCAACCAATGACGCAGTGCGTGGATATGTATTCGGATCAGTATTCGGGATGTTTGTACCAGGGAATAGGTCACTTTCTGAGTCTATGCATGCGTCAGGGAAAACATTTGCAAAAATGTCACTGGTTTTCACTGCAACTGAATTCGCCTGTGAAATTGTGAGAAATAAAAAAGACGCCTACAACACTGTCATATCTGGAACGGTAGCTGGTGCAATGACATGCAAGAAGCATCCATTTCTCTCTGCTGCCGTATTTGGTGCATATTCCGGGATATCTGAGTACTTGAAGGAATATTAAATCAGCCTGATTATAATTACATTCCACATTTTTCATAATATGCCACGTACTCATCCTCTGTCATCTTCTCTTTGTCCTCTTCTGTTATTTTGTCGATATCTTTCTCAATCCCATTCACAGTGACATAAACTATTTCACTAGTCTTCTTCTCAATAGGTGATGGGACCTTATTTTCTTTCACATCAAATTCTTCAGAATCATTTTGAACTGGTTCGACTTCTTCAATTTCTTTCTCTTCTGCTTCTTGCACAGCTGTTTCTTCAGTTGTTTTGGATTTTTGCGCCTTTAGATTCTTCATCTGAAAATAATCCATGTTTGGTATTTTATATTGATCAACTGCCTTCAATAATCGAATGAGATACTCCAATTTGTTGATAAATGTCCTGTTATCTATTCCATTTCTCTCATTCTGTACAGTACACTCCAACAATTCATTTTTGCAAATTGGACACTTGAATACAAAATCTTCTACGAATGCCTGTGCGTCTAGCATTGAGTATGTTTTATCACATATGATACACTTCAACATATCTTCTTTGACTCTGTTCGACTTCTCAACGAGATTGTTCATTTTCATAATCTTGTATTTTATTACGTCACGTACTTCTGCATAGTTTATGTAATAAACCGTCTTTAGTTCATCTTTGCCAACAGAAGTTGTATGCAACTTCTGCTCTACGCGTATCAACTTGTCCTCTCTGAGACGCATCACAATCTTATTGAATTCTCTGTTCAGCAATTTCATCAATCTACAACATTCCTCCTCTGTCAAAATGGTCTTTTCTAGCAAAAAGCTCATGAATACGCTATGCTGAGGACTATAAAACACTTTTATTACGTACGTAATGAGTTGGTGCATCTTTTTCTCGTACTCAACGGCCATGGACTTCAAAAATTTGCCCAAAATGTCTAAAATTCACAGAGGTGACTTGAGTTATTCGAAAGTGTACAAGAACATGGATTTAAATAAGGATTTAGGTGTAAATTGGGAAGAAGCAGAAGGAGATAACGGTAGTGGTGGAAAGAGAGTCAAGAAAGTGGAAATATGCACAGAACCAGAGCCATTAAAGTATATGGTTGATGAATTCGATCTAAAATTCATAAAAGAGTCTGAAATGACTGAGAATGAATTCGTAGAAGAAATTAAAGGAATAGAACAGGAATATGCCACATATTTAAAGAAGAAAATGGACAAGATTACACTTCTAGAAGCAAACGGTTATTGTGACATCTGTGGATATTCAGATGATTCCAATGAAAACAAGATGGTTGTTTGCCAGGGATGTGGCATACCAGTGCACCAGAGCTGTTATGGAGTAGGAGAATTCACTAAGGCGTGGCTATGCAAGAAGTGTGAAGAAGGTGAATTTGATTCAGTTTGTGGATTCTGTACAGAAAAAGATGGAATTTTGAAGAAAACAGACCAGAATGAATGGATACATGCTATTTGTGCTATTTGCAATCCAACAATATGTTTTCTGAATGACACGCTCAAAGAACCCGTTGATATGACAAATTACGAACCAGTCAATGGAAAATGTGTTTTATGCAAGAAGAAATCAAACGATCTAATGGAATGCAGCTTTCTAGGATGCGAGAATGCATTCCATGTAACGTGTGCGTGTGGATTACTGTACATTGACATCGACAATAGCACAATCTATTGCAAAAAGCACTTTCCAATTAAAGACCCAACTGAAATCAATAGCAGGAAAGAAACAAATGAGATGAAAGACGGCTACAGAAAAATGAAAGATGAGATCTATGAGAGAGATGACATGCGACTGAATGCGATCATTGAAACGGAATATTCACAGTTGGTTAAAACCAGTCTGAATGAATTCAAGACAGAATGTTCGAATACGAAATTAGTAGAATATTACAAATCAAAGCAGATGAATATTGGTAGATCAGCCATCGATTATTATCAGTGTGCTAATGCATTTAGAGAAGCATTCAAATAAGGCAGTTTACTCCAATTTTTTGATTTTGTCCAATAGTCTATATCTCTTAGTATTAGATAGTGTTTGGAGCATTTCCGGATCAATTTGGTCGTAGATGCTGTTAAATGGTGACTTGTGCGTAGGCAAATCCATTCCCACCTTGTAATTCGTGATTTCAATGTCTTCCAAGTTCAATAGATCAAAAACATATTGTGGCTGAATGTACATCTTGTCTTCTTCTATTTCACTAACATCTTCACATATTACGATGTTTCCTGTCTCTGAAACTATTCCACCCATGCTATTGACCACGAATTCGATTTGTTCTCTGATTGATTCGTTTCTTATACAAAATGTGCAATCTTTGAGTTTGTGATTTGATTCTCTTTCAACTTTCATCATTTTGAGCTTAAACAGTACCAATTTCACATGTGTGATTAGAACAGGTACAGAATATTCTAAATATCTCAGGTATCTCTCATTTGTGCACTCAATGATCGAGTCATCATCCGATGCATCCTCACTCTCCTCTTCCAAATCAATCAGACTCTTCAATGCTTCTCGTGGTATCAAAATGTGTTCTTTAGAGAATTCCTCCCTATTTTTTATTTTGTAGGGAACCATCCACAAAACCATTTTATCCTCAACGTTGATTTGGTAAAAGATGCCATTCTTGGACATAAATGCACATTGCAGCATATTATTGTCAATAACAAACTGCTCGAAATCATTTAGAACAGTTGTAATGCAATGCTTCACATTTGAATCTTCTTCCATGTGCAATTGTGCCAAGTATAGAAATCTAAGTGAATTCCCTAAATCGCAAACTGATTCACCAAAACTGCCGTATTTCTGTTTTATCAAAGGTATCAGACGCATTTCAACATTTCTCACCTGTTCTGCTCTTTCTAACAATCCACCTGCTTCCAGCGTCTTTCTTTTTGAATCAAGTCTCTTATTTGCCTTCAAATTCGAATAGGAATCTGAACGTGCAATCTGTTTGATATCATCAATTGTGTAATAGAAATCATCTGCTTTATCCAAACATTGCCTTTTCGCAGCTACTATTGGATAAATCGAACAGTACACACACAATTTGTCCAATTCATGTAGTTTTATGTGCAATTCAATTGCTGCTTTTCTCTTGGAAATGAATTTCTTTTTTGGTTTAAAAAATTTTGTCATTTTGGGTAGAAATGAAGATGCCTTGATAATTTTGTTAATAAGGGTGGTGGTTCTTAGAAACCTAGAAAATAGGTACTTCCTAACAAACTAAAATTGGGTGAAGCTTCAGTACTTTACTTACTGCTTCATTATTTCTTTAACTTGGATGTTGAATCATTTGAAGGCCATCCCTTTCTCTTAAGAAGTGAATTAATGAATGCGACAATAACGGCATCAACTGAGCCTGGAGTAGATGTCAGCTCTGGATGATACTGTGTTGCAACAAAGAACGGATGTTTCTCGTCAGCCAGAATCACCACACGTCCATCCTTAGTCTTTCCTCCAATTGTCAATCCAGCTCGCTCGATCTTTGGTTCTTCTCGTATGTTTATACCGTAAGAGTGTCTGAACTTGAAGCTCTTGGTTTTCTTGCCGTAGATCTTTTTACCAATCGAAACCAGTTCAACTTCGTTCAGTCCCAGGAAGATGCCCTTACCGGTATTTTGGCATTTTATATTTGGAATCTTCTTGATTGCGTGAACCTGTGTTGTAGGCACGAACTCCTCTGATGTCGCAGTCGGCTTCTCTAGTTCGTCCCTGAATCTCTCAATGTACACCAGCTGCATTCCTAGACAAATCCCCAGAAATGGTATTTTGTTTGTTTTTGCATAATGGATGTAAACAAGCTTGTTTTCATAATAAACTGATCCAAATCCACCAGGGCAGACTATTCCATCGAGTTCTTTGAACTCCTTCGTTGCCATGACCTTATCTGGGTCTGCTGACGTCAGATAGACCACGTCTACACCGTAACCTTGTACTTTACCACCACAAACAAGTGCCTCTACAAGTGAGAGGAATGCATCCTCTTCCGGCTTAGATCTCGTTATCAAACCGATTTTCAGTCTCTTTGGATGCTTCTCCATAAGTTTCTGATAGATTGGATGTATTACTATTGGAGTCGACTCCTTCAGATTTAACTTTTTGTACAACATGCTCATAAACCCATCATGTGCCAACTCATGAAGCATTTCGAATGCGTTTCTGGTCTGAATGTGATGCATCGTACCCTTGTTCTTCTTTATCATCTTCGTAAATCGTTCAGATGGACTGTCTTCCAGTGCCCCTAGTGACCTGTGATACGCAACTGTATCTGGTGTGAATCCTCCATTCATGCACCGTGTGTAATATCGGTGCATCTGCTTTACAACAGCTGTCTGACTCTTTTCTTCTGTATTGTGCATCATTATCACATAGATGTCGTCATTGTTTACTCCTTCGAACTTTCGTAGCATTGCTGTTAGCACATGCTTTGATGCATCTTCGTTCTCATCCAAATCAACATCGATGATTGCCACTACATGCTTCTTTGTCTTTCCACTCCGACTCTTTGGATACGTGTTGCATGCCGTATCCAACATGTCATCGAATGTTTTACTGAGCATTTCAAAATCAAAAACGGATCCAAAGAAGTTCAAGTTGTTTTCTCCAGTGATAACACTGTACATGACTTTACCCAGACTGAACTCATTGTACTTCGTTAAGTGCGTGTTATTCAGTCTTTCGTATTCCCCGCATCCAGAGAAGGTCTCAGTCCCATCATTCAACACGTAGATCTCCTTGTAGGCTGCTGGACTCAGTTGACCTGCATCAGTGTTCAACATGCTATTCAGCTTGACGTACGTGCATCTGGTACCATTTCCACTTAGTATATTTCCTATACATGCTGCCAGTCTTCCCTTACAGTTGTTTCTGAAATCCTCTTTTCCCAAAATCAAAACGTACTTCATAAGGGTTCTAAACCAAAATTTTTATTAATGACAAATCTCTCTTTCAACAAGTTACCTTAATATATCAGCCTAATAGTGTATAATGGATAGATCTTCAAAATGATCAAATATTGATCAAAATAAGGAGTGTTGTAAAATGGTTTTTATCCCATCAAATTGTTTCGCCTGATAAATTAATTATTTTCAACGGTAAACAAAAACAACGTAAAATAAATGTCATATTCAATGCATGCTTCTGCTATTTGGATGCGTCCTAAGCACGTTCTTGCCATGCGAGTGCCAGAGACCTGGAGTCGTAGCACTCACATTCGAAGACGGACCATCCTGTTACACGCCTGAAATCCTATCCATTCTCAAGGAGAACAACATCAAGGCCACTTTCCACTTTAGCACGGCTTCGATGAATGAGAGCACGGCCTCGATGATCCAAGCTGCTGCTGAAGACGGCCACACGGTTGGACTCAGAACAAACCCAAGCAGAAACTACGAGACGATCTCAGACAAGGACGCCATCTACAGCGACTTGGATCACCAGGTGTCGTACATCGAGGATGTGTCTGGTGAGAAAGTCCAGTTCGCCAGGTCTCCGTTGAATAGTTCCAACATGCCTAATGAATACGTTTACGACTATTTCGTAGAGAACAACATCATAATGACACAATCGGCATTCAGCCCATACGACGCAGGAACCAACCCAACTGAGGCAGTTGAAAACCATTTTAGGCTTCTTTCTCCCAGCTTTGATTCACGTATTGTTTCGCTGTATGGATCGAGGCTACAAGAGGACGAGGAGCTCCAGAACATCATCAACGTAATCAGAGGCAACGGCTTCTCATTTGTGACACTTGAGAAATGTCTTCCAGACTACAAACCTGGTGACTCGGCCGCAGCATTCTCAGAGTGCAAGCAGTCGTCCAGTGGTGCCCCAACCATCATCAATCGTGGCTTCATTACACTGTTAACCTATCTAGCTCATTAATAAAGTGTAAAATGAATTTAATCTGTATTTATGCATTTATTCTTCAGACGCGGAAATAATTTAGCGAGAACGAGTCTCTGTAAATTATGAACTGATCCCAACATACGCGAAACTAGAGAGAAAGTTAAATAGTAAGTGCTGTGGATGTGTTCCCGCTGCATCATCATCAAAACAAATTGCATGGTTATTCATGTATGGGATACTGGTTTCGTTCTTCAGGATCTACGTCACCTCTTTTGTTCAGCGATGGGTTCCCAGTTGGGTTGAATTTTCATCAAAAATGACAGAAATGTGATCTTCCTTTTAAATTATTCAGGCATCTTAAAGAGGTAGTAAGGATCCCTTCTTTTGGGACAAAGGGCAGTATGGAGATTTCTCTAAGGAAAGTCCTCGGGCAATGCCGAAAGGCGCCTGTTACTGCCTAGAACGCAGATCAATGCTGCCAGCCGTCGATCCGGCTAACAGAATGAGGCTTACTCTTGTCCCACACTGAATAAATTTTTACAAAATATTTATGCCACATGTCTGAGAAGAAGCTCTTTATCAAGTTTGAACGAGTTAAAAACATCGGCAGAATTGAAACAGAGTACAAGAAGATAAAGAAGGAGCTTGCTGAATTACAGGGGGAAATAGAACGAATTAGAGAAGAGAGAGGGAAAATAAACCTGGAAAAAATTACAGCTAGAAGGAAGCAGCTTGAGACTGAATACACTAACATGATTGATGGAATGGATTTATTCAAATGATATTGTTTGTAAACAAGACATAAAACACGCACACAAACAAAACACATGATATCAAACTACATCGGATGCAATGAGATGTATCACGCATCTAACACCAATTCAGACGAAATAGAAGTACACAAGGCCAATTTGCTTTCGAGATTTTTAGACCTGAAAATAAGCGATGTGGTGCACAAAAATGAACTTATGCATAAATACATGACATTTTCATTTATGCAACTGGTAATGGCTGTTAATTGCACTATGCAGTTCCAAAACTACATCTTTGAGACAGAAGACGAGTTTGTTAACGTGTTTTCTGGCTGTGTGGCCCTGAGCACGAAGTATTTGACCGATAACTGTGTTTCTAACGAAGTGCTCTCAGAAGTGTTGGATTACGACATTGATGACATGAATTACATCGAGAAGATGACATTGGGACTGCTTGAATACGATCTGTGCGCCACAGACCAGGAATTACAGGGCGTAATCGACAGGTTTGTGGATTTTTCGTAGAAGAATTTTAGCAAATTTTGCCCCTACAAATGGAGGACAGCGATAAGAAGGATGAAATCGCACAGGAGCACATTGGAGAAGTGCGAAATATCACGGTGAATCTCTCCTCACCAAACAAGAAGTCGATAAACTTGGCAGCCAGGGAATTCTACGAATACGTCAAGGAGCTCAAAGAAAACATTGATATGCCTGAGATTGTGCCAACAGCAGAGGCTGTGTTTACAACCAGAAAGAGCCCATGTGGAAATGGAACAGCCACATACACGAGACATACGATGCGTGTGTATCAGAGAAAGTTTATTGTATCACTCCACGATTCAAACATCACCAAAGTGACTGATTTCCTGAAGAGCGTGCCAGCAAGGGCACAGTTGATGATAAATCAATAAATTTTACTAGAAATCAACAGATCAAACTTGTTTAATTTTCTAGTCTCCGTTGATTAAATCCCCTAAAATGAACAAGAGTAAAAATTCTCAGAATGGGTTCGCAATGGTGTTCTTTAACATTCTAAAAGCATGCATTGGTGGTGGAATATTGGAGTATCCCTATTTGTATCAGCAACACGGAGTTATATTGGCCACATTTTATACAACACTTTTCGGTACAATTTCACTATTTGGTTGCATCCTTTACATGAGGGTTAATGATCACTATGGAAAGAATAACACGCTTTCATCCATTTCGCTGCACATCTATCCCAAAACCAAGGTCTGTATAGACGCAATCATCCTCTTCAAGTGCTTCATAGTCTTGCTGTCGTATTTCTGTTTGATTCACGAATCATTAACAACAATTTGTAATGACTTGAATATCAAAACAGCCGATATCCCACACAAAGGGTTCGCAATGGGGTTTACGACAGTTGGATTTCTCTTTACACTTCCATTTGTAATGGCAAAACACATCAAGACACTTAAGAAGACATCTTTTTTGGGAATGGTTGGCGTAGTTATGCTACTAATTGCATCTCTGATGTTCTGGAATACAGATTCAGGAAGAATGCATACCATTGGGAAATCTTTGAATCCAATTACAAACCTGGGATCATTTGTGTTCAGTTACACCTGTCACCAGAATATTATATCAGTCCATAATGAAGCAGATATGAGCTATAAGGAGTTGTGTTGGTCTATAGCAGTAGTCTATGGCTGTACCACACTCATCTATGTTACATTTGGAATGATAAACTACTTCTGTTTTGCAGGAAGAACAATAACGAACAAAATATTCGACACATGGCCTGCTTCAAATACCAAAACGACTGCGTTGACGATTTATACGATCTTTCTGGTAGTTACGATACCATTACACGTGCATCCAATCAAGACACAGATTTCAGAACTAGCGAAAATCAGAAGCAGACTGAAAGAGAAGGCATTGGGCGTATTGATTACCGTTGTACTCTTCATAATGGCGGTTAGTGGGCTATTTAGCTTCAAAAAAGTGTCTAGATTTGTTGCCCAGACATTCTCTGCACTCCTGGTATTCATAATTCCATCATTCTACTACCTGACGCATTCTGGTAAAAAGAAGCCTGTTTACTGTGGGATGGTTGTATTTGCCATAGCAGTCGGAATACTCTGCTTGGTCAAAACAGTCCTGGATATCACGCCTAACTAGATTTAATTTACGAGAGATTATGCCAGTAAAGAATATTCACTACTAAAATCAAATAAACACGATCTAGTTCGAATTATTCAAGGAATATTTAGCCCCGATGCCCAAGAAAGTTGCAATAAAGAACGAAATGCAAATCGAAATATGGGACGAAGATCACACGATGATGAATCTGTTGCGATGGATCATAAGTAGTGGATGGGCAGACTACATTGACGAAGAAACGAACGAGAAGGTCGAAGTCGATTTCTGTGGATATGCGATACCACACCCATCAGAACGAGTTTGTGTTTTAACAGTGCAATTTGTGCACAAATCTCACCAAAACGGCTCAAACATTCTGAATATTCTGAGGAGCTTGTTTAGCCGTAGAAACAGTTGCAGATGATTTAGAACAGAAAATTGCTGTATCGTAGTTTACTGGTCGATTAACTTAAATTGCTCTTGTCATCCTGAATTTCTTGGACGTCGTCAATTTGAATCTCCAGCTCGTCAACACTCGCTCCGTCGGTGGTTGGGACCTTCTTCGCCTGTGCAAACAGCATCTGCTGCTCTGCATGCAGCTGTTCCATCGTTAAGCCACTCTCCTTGAATTTGTTCTGTTTTGATGGTTTATGCTTGGTGTACTCCAAGTAGCATTTCGTTGATTTCTCAACCTCATCCACGTATCGCTCCAATTCGTACTTTCTGAGCGAATGGATCAGATGGTCGATTGTGATGGTCTTCTTTTTCTCTTCCTCGCACTTTCTGTTTGCTTCCCCTGCTAAAATTATCAGAATTTTTTTGCTAAAACTTCTGAGTACTTCTCTGGCGTCTTTGGCCATTAGTGTCTTACTGGCAAGTGTGCTGTGAATCAGCTTGTCTACCGTTGCCTTTGGGAGCGAACAGTCGTCCTCGATCTTCTCGTCAAACATCCCCTTTCATGGGCCATTCTATTTATAGCTTTTTCTAAAAATATTATGCGAATGAAAATAAATAATACACGATAAATATACGGAAATATTCAACAATGATTTTACACCTGATGTCTATGCAAAAATTATACGAAATGATTGCAAGGAAACTGGAGCAGGGTATTGAACAATACGCCAGAAGAGAGATAGATATTGATGAGTTGAGACTGCTTAATGCATATGAGCAGGCATTCGACAAGAACTGGGAAGAAGAGAAACAGAGACTTAGGAGAATAATAAGCACAAAACTAAGGAAGATGAATTTGGATTTGAATGAGGCGGAAGCGAAGTTGAATGAGCTGAAGGCCATTGAAAACAAGGAAGTCCAGGTTGATATGGACAAAATGTTTGAATACGGTTTTATTGTGGGAAGAAATAAGAGACAACCTGAAGGTGCAGAAAACTCACAGTTCTATTTACCACCATTTCCACAACCATAATGGTACAAAACACATTTTGATCACTTTCTTGTTATTTGAATGTGGTTATTGTTGCATTCCAGTTCTAGGTTATTTTCTGTGGCCAAATGCAGCAATCCAATGAGACAAGTGTGTTTGCTAATGTCTTTATATTCTTTGCTGGTGTAATCTGATTTAATATCAGTGCATAAACTGTTGAATTCAATCGTAGGCAACTTCTCGATGCGTTTGAACAAATTCGTCTTCAACTTCAACATGTCGACTTTCTTGGCTTTTCTGGTGAATTTGAGTTGAATTGGTTCATTAGGAACAACAGTTTGATCAAATTGTATCTTCTTGGATAAATTAGCATCCTCAATATTGACTATGGTGTTGTTGACTTCAGGTTCATCGTTAAATTCTTCTTCAAATCCATTATTCATTTCGTTGCTAACTGTGATATTGTTTGTTTCATATGCTGATTCTTCTACAGTGTTTTCATTTGATTTTTTGGTTTTCTTACCAAAATACACTTCTTTATCAATGTTCATTCTATACAAGTCTTTGAGATCAATCAGAAACTCATTTGTTAGTACATTCTTCTTCTTTCTTCTATTTAGAATCATCTCTTTTGTCATTGTTGAATCAAATTGCTCTCTCATACACTTCAATTTTGGCTGTGCCTTGAAATCCAAAAATGCTTTCTCTCTCTTTTTCTTGATAGTTGTTGGCTTCTTCTTGATGTATTCTGTTCTCCATTCTTCAATGTCATTCCATTTCTTGATAAATGGTCTCTTGATCTCTTCTTGTTTCTCTTCTATTTTATTAACCTCAACACTGGCAGATTCTTCTGCATGTTCGAATTCACAGGCTTCATCAAATTCATTTTGACTGATTTCTTTTAGTGATTCATCTTCTCTGTGTGATATGTTCTCAATCAGTTGACTTAAACCAGGTAGCTTTTCTCGTGGAACCAACATCATTTCTGATTGATCAGGTTGTTGGTCTTGTACAACTTCATCATCGTAATCAAGCTTCTTTACGTGTAGCAGATCAGAACAAATTGGCCTCTTTTCTATTTCAATATCACATTCTTCATCCTCCATTATCAGTTCAGTAAAACAATTATTGGAAGAGTGTAGCAGGATGCCTTGATTTGTGTGCTTTAGATCATAGAATACGAATGCCACATCATTTTTGGATAATATTGCGCTGAATACAGGGTCGTTGAACTGTTCAGTCTCAGGAATCCTGATGTTTATGGCATCGGTGTTCTTTACCAAAAAGTTGTCTTTTTTGGTTTTGGTTTTAGTCTTCTGCTTTTCTTTAGTTTCTTCATCTTTTCCCATTATATTCACTAATTTGTATGTGGAATCAGCTACCTCGTCCACTCTGTTTGTGTACACTTTAACACATCCGTCCAATGCAGTAGAAACCTTGGTGAAATTTATTTTGTTTTCCTCTCTAAAACCATCAATATTGTTGAAATGTTGTATAAGTGGTGCATTCCAGGCATTCTTTGCACTTATTTTATTCTCATTTGCAGCCTTAATCCACTTTTCGAGTTCTTTGTCTTGTTTTTCCATTGTAACAAATTAGGTGTGAAAATAAGCTTATTTTACATAAAAAACGATCAGGATGCATAAACAATGAATGACGAACTGATGGAAGCAATTAGTGAAAGCTACAGGAAAATACACAAGAAGATAGACGAATGTATTGTATGCGTCAGAAACAACAGTAAACCTGATTTAAGTAATGAAATCAAAGAATTATCTCAAAAAATCAATAATCTTGAAAAAAGGCTGAGTAAAAACGAAGGTCTTGAGGTACAATTTGACGGAAACTGTGACCTATTTAAGAGTTCACAGACAAATGAGGACTGTTTCAACATCGATTACCTGAATGAGAATGCGACTGATAAGAAATCTATAAAAAATGAATACAAAATACCCAATACCATGTCGAGTAAACCAAACACATCACTAAATAAAGCAAAATCAACTGCACTACCAATAAATACAAAACCAACAACACCAAAAAACAGACACGTGAATCCAATATCAAGAACCACTGTTATCAAACCTGACAAACAAATCAGATTCAACAAAAGTGAGATGTTCATAGCCTGTGAGAATGAGATGCCCCACAATGATATTAAATGACATTTTAATATTTTCCTTGTTTTGTTTCACTTGTTTACACCCCATAATGGAAAAGAATTACAAAAAGAACACTGAGCTAAAGATGAAGCTGGAGGAAAACAACACATGCGCAGATTGCAACATCAAAAACCCACGATGGGCCAGCTGTAAGTACGGAATATTCATTTGTTTGGATTGCGCAGGCAAACATAGGGCTCTCGGTGTCAACTACGATGTAATAAAGTCGGTTACACTTGATAATTGGACTAAAGAGGCCTATTTGCCAATAAAATATGGAGGAAACAAGAAATTCAGAGAGCATTTAGGAGCAAACAAAATTACAATTGTAGAAATATTGGACAAATATAGAAACAAGAAAGTAATAAGGTATTCTGTGGAGCTAATGGATGAAATCAACTCGAAAACAGGTGTAGAAATACAGCCAGCTGCAGCATACTACAACACGGTGACGCAACTAAAAGAAGAAAAGAGTGTAGTAGAAAATAGGACAGTTACTCCAAAAATGAGTGAAAGCAGCACATTTGCAGTATCAAAGCCATCACTATACAGTTCAAAGCAAATTTCAAGCACCAACTTTTTGACTACAACAAGCATAAATGTAAAAAATGCATTAAGTCAGTATTCACCAAAGCTGGCATCGTTATCTAGCATCACTTTGAATACAATTGGAAGTGTTTCAACTGCAATATATACACAGACTAAGAAGTTGAGCAGTAAGACACTTTCGGCCACAGCAAAAGTAGGCAACAAGGTCCTTTCTGAGGGATCCAGAGTATTTAGTGAGAAAACACAGACTAAGCCATCGTCTGCTAAATCACAAGGTACATTATACACCACAACCAGCAAAAAGAACTACGAGCAGAAAGATTGGAGCTGAATAAAGTCCCTTAGAAAAACAATAAATTTTTGCCCAATGATTGAAGAAACTCCAAAAATTCGTTCAGTTGAAATACCAAGGCATAAAGTAGCAAAGATCAAGGAGAATTGGGTCAAGATATACACTGCTATAATAGAATACGCTAAATTGCACATCAGATACAACAACAAGAGCAATGCAGTGGAATTCAAAGTAGCAGATCACACTGTAGAAATGTCGTATTTGGATAGGGCTGTTGTTTTTGTAGAGTCAATTATAGGCGGATTCAGGGTGGAAGACGCCATTGCAGTTCTAAAATACAAGGATGTGTTCATGGAACAGTTTGAGATATCAGAAGTGAAAAGAATGAGATCAAATCATTTGACAAGAGCCATTGGTAGAATTATCGGAAGACAAGGCAAAACAAAGGAAGCCATTGAAAACTTCTCAAAATGCAAATTCATTTTGATAGACCAGAAAATACGACTTCTTGGCTGCGTAGAAAACATCAAAATTGCCAAAGATGCCATTGGAAGACTGATTCAGGGATCTGAACCAACATCCATTTTCAACAGACTCAGAATCAAATCAACCAAATTGAAAGAGAAATATGGCTGTCTGCAAACAATCTACGATGATTTACGTGAAGAATAGGTCACCTATTTATTTGCTTAGAAACATGAATCTGTGCAATGCCTTGAGTAAGTTGTTTATCGTATTCTCTTCCATGCACTCCTGGTATTTCTCAACAATTCTTCTCCTGTAATTTGTTTTACCAATTTTATGCATCTCAAGTTCTTCTTTCGTCATTTTTGATTCAACCAACTCATTCTTGCAATACTTGTCTAGTAAATCAGAGACATCGAATTTGACTGCTTCCTTAGGCTTCAGGTTGTCAGCCCACGTCTTCTTGTTCAGATTCAGTAGCATCCTCTGCTCCAAAGAGTCCTTTTCAAATGAGATATTGAAAGAGTAGTATTTCTGATTCAACCCGTGTACAATTGAGACAAATGATGGCTTCTTAAGGAATCCAATGTTGCTAGTCACAATTCTTGGCTCATCCAATGAGAGTTGTTCGATGTTCCTGAATGCATCAATGACCACTTTTCCCTTTACGCTTTGAATTGGATCTACAACAACAGCTACTGCTCTTTTGCAGATGTATTCGAATGCTGCCTGTGTTGATACGTCTGTGGAACTGAGCCAGCATCCAAATCCAGGGTGGCTGTGGTACCAGCCTACAACAGTTTCAGTCCTTCCAGTTGCCTTGAGAATATCCAGCATTTTGGCCTGGAATACGGGATCAACTGCTTCGACTGTTACGCCTGTTCCAGATTGTGGCATTGCAAACACATCCACCACCTTCACGTTGTATTCGTCAGTGAATTCTCCTAACATTAGGCCCATCACCTCCAATGGAATTCCTGCTCTACCGTGCTTCATCATTTTAAGCAAGGCCAATGCTGAGATGTGGATTGTCTCAGACGTGTCGTACATTTTGGTGCCATCCTTGTTCATTAGGGAATAGAATTCTTCCATCTTGGGGTCTCTAAAAACATTCTAAGCTTATTTATTCTATAACTTGGAATGGAGGATGTCGTATCCTTCTTCACTGTCTACGGTGATAATTGTGACATTTCCTTGACAACCTGCATATTCATCCTTCTTAACGGTGTTCTTTCTGTTTTCAATACTTTGTAAATCTATACCTGGGTGAAAGTGCCTTTCTACCTCTACCTCATATCCAGCATCACATGTTGGTTCCATGCTATGTTTCTTTGCTTCCTTGCTTCCAAGCCACTCATAGTCTTCATCTGTGTGCGTGTAATTC